GAATTGTGACCTTAAAATTTTTGAATTGTGACCAAATTGTATAGATCTGTAACCGTTATATATTTATTAATAAAATATATAAGTAATTAAGTAATTCATAAATAAATTTAAATAAAAACCTGATTTTTGAAATTTAAAACATCTAACCTCAATTTTGAAATGTGTATAAGTAAAAGCAGGATTTATGTATACTTCCCAATTAAAAATTGGTCCAATTTTTCTTCACATTGGGTTGAAGAAGAGGAATATTTTTTGTTAACATTATGAGATGCTGTCTGATCACACTACTTGCAAACCCTTTGGGCTGGACCTGATCTTATGCGATAGTAATCTTAAAATTCATTACACCCAATGCTTGGAAACCATTTAAAAAACAGATAGCCTATGAAAGGAGCAAAAGGAACAAAAATCAGTTTTGTTGATGGATTGAACATTTTCTTGAATTGGCACAGACCGGCATTTGGCTGTAGGAAGAAACAGTGTAGATAGTTGACGCGAGTTTTCTTGTCGATGGTTTGGGTGACGGCCGTTGAAAAATTCTTGCAGGAGCCTCAGTAATTGGAATAAATAATAGAATCTTTGGTATAGGAACAATAGCAAATCATTAAGTTAAAAAAAAAAAAAAAAAGTTCTCATATTTTTCCGATATTTTTCCGATATGCCCTTTCATTTATGTAATAAACTCATCATACAAGGCTGGATCCAGCACTAGTATGAAAGACGTAGAGTAGTGCTTTGAAACAAGAAACACTGCATACCTAATTTGCTTCAATTTTTTGGAGCAAGAGTGTACATAAAGAAAGACATAATGCATACTGATATTATGCTCACCAAATTATAACTCCACAGAGCCCGATATTGATCCTAATTATGTCTTGGGCCATAACTTCCTTTTCTATCACAAAGCTCAAATCTGTTTTGGTTAGTCAAAGATCAGAACACAAGAAGACATGCATAGTCTTGATCCTAAAGATCGACTCCAGAACACCAAATCTTGATCATACTAGCTAAATGTCTTTGATCATGGCTACATTTTATTCCATCTTTTTCAACAATCTCAAACAAACAAGGAGATGAGGGGGAATTGTTAAAGAGTAACAGCTCTGTAGAACAAAGATGAACTAGCCAAAAAATACAACCCCCACCTGTCCATAGCCTCGTTAAATTGGCAAAATTTACATTACATTAAGCTAGCCTAGAAATATATGGAAGTAGTAGCTCAAATCCCAGAATTCTTGTAAAAAGTCAAACAAATATGATGTCGTTCTCCTGGATGGTATCAAGAATGATAGCAAGTCTACCCTCGATCCGTTCATTCTTGTTGGGCTCATATGACATTGCAAATACGTCAGCTT